AATACGCTTCTATATATATTATATTAAATAATTCCAAGCTTTAAGTTTACTCCCTGCCAAACTGTTCAATCTATCTAAAAAGCATTATCTGTGCCAGCACATACTTCAGAATCTTAATGCTAAGCTTTTGCTTCGCACTACAGGCGAATATGTTTTCAATATTATCTCCTCCCATCCATCAGTGTGGTTGACAAATGCGGTTGCAATAAAATATCTAAGGAGCTATCAAGTAAAGCACTAGGGCTGATCGTTACTGGAACTCTTCTTCCGTTTCTTGTCCTTCTTGTCCTTGACGTGGAACTTGACCTCGACGTTGACCCTGATGACGGGCTTGTGGCCGCCTTTCGCCGCCTGCTCTTCTGTCAGGGGGACTGACAAGGCAAGCAGCTGCCGGCCCTCCGCATCCGCGCCGTCCCCAGTTGAGGCGGCCGAGTCCGCGGAGGACGAGGAGGGCTCTGGCGATGGCGGTCGCGGCGTTGACGGCCTGGTGCCTGCCCTGGACTCTGCCTGGGGCAGGGCGAGGGCCTCCGGCGGCGCGTCCAGGCTCGGTCGCCTGGGCGTCTCGGGTGCAGGCGGCGGGTCGGGGGCTCCCGAAGGCTGGTCGTGGTCTTCGTGCTGCTCTTCTGGACGAGACTCACCTTCCTCGGCTTCGTCCTCTTTCTCCTGGGCAGTGATGCTGGCAGTGGTGCTGGTGGTGAGTTCGCCGTCGTCTACCCGCGGGGCCTCCGCGTCAGTGTCTGCAGCGGCCGGCTCGGGATCCTCGGCCGGGGCCGGGGCGGCCCTGAGCTCGGCGCGCTGCCAGCCCAGGTGGCCCCACCACACCCCAAGCGGGTCCGGCCACGGCCAGGGGGTGAGCGGGGGGATGACGGCGGGGGCGGGCCTCAGTCTCCAAGGCGGTGGCGCAGCGACTGCGACTCCATGCGCGCCTGCGTGAGCTGCGCCTGCAGCTCGGAGATGCGGGACTCGTACAGCAGCCCTGGTCCAGGGCCGGGCAGCCCGGTGCGCGCACCCACCGGCCGGATCAGGTCCATGCAGTAGCGTGTACCCGCCGTCGGAGCCTGCTCAATGGAAGGGTGGGCCAGAGTGTGGGGCGCGATCTGAGAGGGGGGGACTCGGGCCGCACCAGGATGCCGACGTACCTGAGTATCGGCCAGAGGCGGGCGCGTAACCGGCGCGAGAGAGTCCCGCACGGCGTTCATGAGCTCCTCGTTCTCCGAGATGAGGCCCTTGAGCTTGGTCATGAGGCCGGTCAGCTCGCCCTGCGGGGCAACCAGCGCACAGCGAGGACTACGGTTCAGTAGAGTGACACCCGGCCCGATGGCGACGGCCAGCGCACGGTGGCGCCGTCCACGATACACTCAACACTACTTCTCTCTCACTTCCCCCTCCTGGGCAGTGGTGAAACTCACCCTACAGTACCGCGACTCCTTCTCCAGCTGCTGGATGTACTCCTCCTGGCGCTCGATGAAGTCCGCGAGCCCGGCCGAGGACTTGCCGACCAGCGCGCCCGCGCTTTCCAGGCGGCACGGCTCCAGGAAGAAACAGTCGCAAAGTCATGGCCCGACCCGGGGGCTTCGGGCAAGAGAGAGTTTGACGCCAAGCGTCCTCCCTGAGACCCTCCCTTCCTCCTCCAAGCATCTACTCATAGTTCTGCACTAGTAGTGCACTACTAGGAGTGCGCGAACTATAGCACCACCCAGAAAGTACGTCCGCCATACGCCAGTGCGAACCTGCCAAGTTGGGCCGCTGCTGCAAGCTGTCATAGCGCCTTGTAGGTAGGCAACATCTTGCCTGAGACGCACGCGTGTACTGCGGGCTGGCCTACCCCGAATCTCGCAGGCGCTGAGCCCTCGCACCTTGTCTTGAATGGATCTGAGAAAAACGGACGTACTTTCTGGACGATCCCTGTGGGAGAAATTGCAGCAGCCCCCGGGGACTCACCAGGTACGAGTCCATGAGGAGCATCCGGAGCCTCGCCACCGTCTCCCTGTAGTTGGCGTCGGTGCAGTCGGCCCCGGAGCACGGCCTGCGCCGGAGCGACGAGCAGCGCCTCAGCGGGACCATGGCGCTGCCGCAGCCGGGCCTGCGGGCGCGACGGGGCGACGAGGGCGCCGGGGCGTTAGCATCGCGATGGTGCGGGCCGCCCGGCCGCGGGGGGGTCGGAGTGGAAGGGAATATTGCCTTTCTGGCTCGGCGGCGCTCCATGACGGGTTGTCACGCACAGCTTGCCGAGGCAGTGCCCTCCACCTCCCCCCCC